AAAGTATAAAATTAAATGTTTAGATAACAAAACTGGAAAAATATTTGTTAATTTCTTAATTTAGAGTCTCCACTGATTAATGTTTTTTATTAAAAACCTGGGTGATATAACAGAAAATAGCTTAATTCAGAAACGATTTATGTTTAAAATTGAATCGATATTTTTACTTTCATGATAAATTTTATGCACTTGGCTCTAGGCTAGTGATCCCAACACTCACAACACTTATAAGGTTTCACAGAACCCCTGTCACTAAGATTGTAATGGGCAGACGGTAATCGAACTATTCTATCTGGATAAATGCATTTTGGCTTTTACGACCCCTCCTATTTTGAGAAATCAAGTGTAATGTAAAGTGACACACACTGGCTTTTATATAGGTTAGATTGTATGCTATCTGTTTTAAATTTTCTCATAAAATATAAATAGATTGAAAATTTTCTTCTCTTTTTATAAATATTTCTCCTGCGTCTGATAGTTATACCTTGACATTTGAAGGAAATAATGAGACTTGTGCCAAACAATTTTGTTTACACACTATAATGTAATATTGTACTTAATACTCTTTAAAAGATCTATTATAATATCATCATGAATTTTTAAAACTGTTGTCACTTTAGTTTTAAGTTTGCTATTTTTAGATAAGGTGTTATTCAGAATATATAATGTGTGTGTGCACATGTATGTTGTACTTAATACTAATATTGGATACTGTTATTATTCTGTGGTCATCATTTGGTAAGGTTAATAAACAAATACTTATACTCAAGATTTCTGACACTATGAGAAATAAATATATAATTTTTGAATGGTATTTTAGTCCTGGTAGTTATGTATATGTTTCCTGTTCTCTTATCACTGGTTTCAAATAGGAAAACTTGGAACAATCAAAACAAGATGCTGCTGCTTGTACTGAAAATAATGAGAACAATGAAGCAGAGAGTCTTGACAGCAAAAAAACAGGAAATCGTAAAGAAAAATCTTTGGGCTTGTTGTGTCAGAGGTAAAGAAAAATGTTGCATTTTTATATTCAAATCTTAACCAATCTTTTGTAACTGAAATGTAAGGATTTTTGCTCAAAATCCTGAAAGTATATGGGAAGCTTTTTTTCAGTACTTGTTGAACATATTGTATCTTGTCTATTATAGTAACTATGATTACATGAAAGATGTATTTGAACTGGGCAATAGGTAAACGTCTTAAAGCATAATGCATTTTAAATCAGCTATAAAAATATGGAAACTTGATGGATCAGTTAAAATTATTTTATTTCTGTTGAGAATACAGGTACATCATAAAATTCTTTCTATCATTTGATGTTGCAAATCTTTATGCATTGAAGGGTAATTTATCTTGCACATACAAAATTAGATATTAAACTAATTAATCAATATTAGGTTATTTTTCTTTAGTTTGAGGAATTAATTTATTTATCTGAAAGAGTTGAACAGATACTGTTGACCTGTCAGAACCTGATGTAAGATCTTCACTAGCAAATTGAAATATTTCCAAGTAAATGAAATAAGTCTATTAAAACCTTTAACTTACTATTACTGGACTCTAAGCATAGAAGGGACATGATAATAGTTAGTAACATCTAGACTAAGTACCTTTTGCAGGTTTAAAAAAAATAAAACATGCTAGTCAGTCATATAAATAGTAATTAATTTAAATTTTCTCCTTGGAGTATAATGTTTAGATACCTATTATTTGTTTTATTATGTTTCTACATCAATAATGTTTTTCAATAGTCATATATAAATTACATTACATTTCATATATTTTAGTTAATAGAATACAGTAAGATAGTTTTTGGTGAATTAAAGTGATAAGTAGTTAGTGTCCTTTAATCACTCTAATTATTAATTTCCTTTTATACATTTTCTTATATATTAACATGCTTATAACACAGTAATTATTATATCAGAAAGATTATTTGCTGTTAAGGGAATTTCACCTGAAACACTGAAAATCATAATTTTTATTCAGAAAAGTTTGGGAATTAAATGAATATCTTAATCACTCTCCTCAAAAACTGGTATTGTTTCCATTTCTCTCTTTCAATAAAATGATATTGGTGATTTGAATAAAATATGTCTAATAGTGTGCACAATATTATGAGACTCTACGAAGACTGTCCATAACAAATGGTATTTACAGTACCTTTATTTGGGTATTGGCTGGTTATGAACTGTAGTAGAAAGATACATTAGAATTATTTAACCAGAAACATGTGCCTTCCATAAGCCAACCACTGTATATTGTATTGAACATTCAAGTGTATCAGTTAACAATTTACCATAAATGCTAATTAGATGAATAACTTTTACATTTTTATCGAAGACAATTGAAAGTTAATTATGTAAAACTAATGTGAACTTAGCTAATAAAGCCCTCAAATATTTTTTTGTCAATTGTATACAATACGAAGATAAATGGGATTAAATCTAGATTAAAACAAGCAGTTATATCACTTGTGTAACTGTACATGTAAACAAATAGCATATAACTTTTGTTATAGTTCTACAATTACTAATAATATTAATCAACTTTTCAAATGTCTTTATTCTAATGTTGTTTTAAAATACTTTTTATTCCAGATTTTTAATGCTGTTTCCAGAAAACCCAGATTCCTCAAAAGAAACTATTTTCTGTCTTGATGATGTTGCAGAAGCATTAGGTGAGTTCAAATCTGACAACTAACATAACAATGTTCAATGATTTAGAGTTGTGTTTGCTTAAATGTTTAGTCATTAATATTAAAATGTGAACATCAAAAGCTTAGTGTAAATCAATAAGTTTTCCACAAGTCAAATGTTAGATCTAATATCCATTATTTAGTGGAGCAAATATTTTTAGCATCTGTAGCATAAAGGTACATTTAATTCTGCTAACAACATGCTACAAAGGATCACAGTATGGATTCTTTTACTTTCTTCCTTCCAGGATAATAACCATTATATTAATGTGATAACACTTATTAGTAAATATAATACAAAATATAAATCATGATAACCAAAATGCTCAAGAGAACCATCATTATGAAATTGATATCTTGTGCATAATACAATACCTTGTAGGAGTGTTATAACTATTGCATTATTCCAGAAAAATTAATTTGTCTTACCTTTACATAAACATAGACTAATAACCTAAAACATTGTAAATTCATTTTGAAAATTTATAGGAAAAAAAAGAACTTCAAGGTTTGAGCTATAACAACACATGCATAAAATGTAAGGCATATTTAATACAAGACAGACACAATGAAAAACAGTTTACTTCAGTCAGAGTGAAATGGTAAAACCCCTTATGTAGAAGAGCTCGGTTTTGCTCATATAAAAAGAACTGAAATGTATGAAGCTATTAAAAAAAGTTAAATAAACAGATGTCAACTAAACAAAATTATAAAGAGAACCACTTACATATCAGTTTAGGACAATTTTCTCAAATGACTTTTATTAAAAATTACTGTAATTTAATGTAATTGTAATTTTTCAGAATATTATATATTATACAGCATGTCAAAAGCAAATATTGTTAGTGTAACAGCGTCTATATGTGATGTATATATTTATACAAGTAAGATTAGTCCATTGTAGATATGTTGGCATATTATTAGCTAACATTATCCATATTATATAGTCAGTAAACATAATTTTAATTTCATAGCATATTTGGAATATTATATATTATACAACAAGCCAAAGTCAAATATTGTTAGTTTAACAGCATCCATGTGTACTAAATGTATTTTGTATATTTAAAGTAACAATTTTCCTTTGTAAATTATCTTGTGTATAATCAACCATGCAGTTTTGAAGTGAGTGTTTATCCTATGCCAGCTTATCTAGACATCCTGAAGGTTTTTGACCAGTAGCTTTTATAGTGGTCCGAGTTGGCATTTCTGTCGAAGATGCTGTGGATCTATATGTGATGGTGAATTTTATGAAAAATGTAGGATATTACAGATGTAATTCTTGATCAATATGCTTGTGATAGTGCATTCTTGTATCATGATAATTATGCACATCCTCTCTTGAATAAATAGTCACTTGATACTTTCAACAATACTCTAACAGCTAGAGCTGCCACCATGCTTTCATGTGTTGGATCACCTGCAAGGTATTATCTAGTAACATGTAGTATTTTTAAGTTGGTTGAAAATAATGGTGAATTTACTGTGAATGTAAATCTACCACAAGACTAACTCCAGTATATAATTTCATCATTGCATAGTAGTGTTACAGGCCTGAAAAGGCAGTATGTGCTTTTTAGTTTGTGCCTTGGGTGGATATTATGTCATAATATGTGCTTTTTAGTTTCTACCTTGGGTGGATATTATGTCATAATATGTGCTTTTTAGTTTGTACCTTGGGTGGATATTATGTCATAATATGTGCTTTTTTAGTTTGTACCTTGGGTGGATATTATGTCATAATATGTGCTTTTTTAGTTTGTACCTTGGGTGGATATTATGTCATAATATGTGCTTTTTAGTTTGTACCTTGGGTGGATATTATGTCATATGTGCTTTTTAGTTTGTACCTTGGGTGGATATTATGTCATAATCACTTGAGTACATGCTGCTTTATTGGTTTTGTCCTGTTTCTCAAAATAAAGGATTCTGATTATGGTTTCCTATCATGTAAATCCATTGTTTGCCTTTCTTGTACAGTATTTATCAAGTAAATGTAGAAACACCATAAACCCTAATGTTTTAGTTAGAAGTGTAGAAAGCATTTGTGCTTTAAAAATCCTTAGCTTCTTAAATTCATGTCCCTTAATCAGCAGTGCAGTTTTAATGTTTAATGGAATAGAAAATGCTTTGTACTCAATTAGTAATTATTATCATCTAGTTTTGAGAGTTTGTAGTCTTGAACAGTTGGGATTAGAAGTAAAAGATGATTTAGAATTTTTAAGACATGGCATTAATTTGGTAACACAATACTATTAAATTATGTGAATGTGTGAAACATAATTATTTAATTGTTTGTGAAATTTATTACCATTTGTGAAAGTGTTGGAGTTTGTAATTTTAACATGATAGTTTTTTAACCTATTAGTAATTGTTTACACTTATGTTGTTAATGCTGACATCTTAAACATGAGAAAATACTGAAAAATTTGTATACTTTAATATTGTTATGAATATTTTTTATGTAACATAAGTGGTTAATTCATATAATTGCTATTTTATATGATAATTTGAGCTGTATTTTGTAATAATGTATGTATACATCATAATACTGTGGTATGTAAATACCATATATCTCACTCTCCTATCTTCAGTATTTGACTTGGAACATCTTTAAAAAGGTTGAGATCATGTGCTAAGTTCAACCTTAAATGTTATATTTTGTAGCAGGGACTAATAACAGAAACTACTGTTTCTTGGAGTAGTTGTATTGTATCATACTTTATCTTGTGTCTAGAAGACTGCTTTAGGACTGTTATGTTGAGCAGGGATACTCTTATGATCCAATTTTCTGACCGCTAAACTACAGAGAGAGAAGGTGGAACATTGTGGTGTTTTCAAACAATTTTTTCTGAGTTATAAAGATTGAGACTTGTATGTGAAGTTTCTTTCTCAATCTTGCACCAACTTGCTGTACAGTTTCTTATAATCTATGTTTTTACTGAATCATACTTTATTATGTTTAACTCTCAACCATCAGTGCTGTAGTCCTACCATCTCAAAAATCAGCCAGTTTGTGTCTTCTTCATTTGCCATAATAAAGTTGTTTACTAGTCTGCTTGAACAAAAGTTCTTCCACATGCTAGGTCCTCAAAACCTTGGTATTTCAGGTAACTGTGTGTTCAATTTATTTGTGTTATTAAAATTGAGATTTGATATTTATGATAGTGAAGTTATTAAGGAGGAACATATAACTTGCTTTTACATAGGTCACTCTATTCCATTTCAGTGATTATATCATATTGTAAAAGATAAGCATTTATTAATTTTTTTAAATTATAAACTTAACAAAAACATAATATTTACTTGTAACTAGGAGTTGAAAGGAGGAGGATTTATGATATTGTCAATGTACTAGAAAGCATAAAAATGATGACAAAAGTAGCCAAAAACCGATACCAGTGGTTTGGTAAAACCTGTCTGAAGTCCACTCTAGGCATGTTGAAGGTAAGAAAACTATTAACAACTACCTTGTTTCTGCAAAATCATTTACTGTAATTAACCTTAAAATTGTCATCTAATTTTTATGCCTTTTATCTCCAGTGGGGTCCACATATTGCATCATATTGATTATATTTTGTTTACTTGTAACAACACTCATTCTAGAAAATAAAAAAGGGAAAGGGAAAAAAAGGAAGAGTCCCTTATTTCCCATTAGGGACCTCAGGAGTAATTGATTCTTTTTTTTTTATGGCTGTATGAATTGTTATTTTATGAATTTATGTGAAATTTCAGAATATTTCAACAACCTTTTTTCTACTAATAATTTTCTGGAAATAATTCACCAATCTTTGCATTGCATCTGAATCTTCAAAATACTTGAAATAATCTATTAAAGAAAGTGTTAGTATTAAGCATCTAGGGCGTGCTGATCATTTTTTGATAGGCAAATGGTGTAAAAACATGGTTCTGCTTCATCTCCAATGACTCAAAAAAGAAAAGCCTATAGAGAGCATACATTTAGCCATGATATTGTATCATCCTCAAAGGTTAAAAGTTATACAAGATGTACAATTTGTGTTTGTGATTTTTCTGTTGCTCACAGAAGTGTAAATGACATCAAAAAATATCTTAACACTACAAAACACCAATAAAATTGTTCAAGGGCATCTGGAATAAATAAACTGGACTCATTTTTTGTAAAACCTGATATCAAATCAGAAAATGATGTGATCAGTGCAGAATTGTTATTCACCTCCTTTCTTGTGGAACACAATCTTCCTTTGGTAGTTTCAGAACATGCTTCAAAAATTATTACCAAAATGTTTCCAGATTTGGAAATTGCTAAAAGATAATGATGCCAAAAATGCTACTTACTGGGCTTTTAATCAGTAGCACACACTAATTAGTAAGTACTAAATAAAACATATTTAGTAGCGAAACCATTTTTGTATACATTTTTTGCTATTTTTCCCATGTCCCAGTAGGGAATTACTATTTTTCAAAATTTAATGTTTGCAGGTCTGTTAGAGAAATTAACTAATATTGATGGCATTTTTGTTTAAATTTTATGTAGCTCATATACTATTTATAACCAACAGTGGGCCCACAAACAATTTTGTATATAAAAATTTTATTAAATATTTGTTGGACCCCCATCAGTAATTTTGGAGTTAATTTTTTAAAGGAATGCTTACAAAGTGCATGTGCATATAGTTGTTTGTAGTAAAGTTTAACTTCATGTGAAAAACCTTTTGTTTTTTAAGCTTACCTAATAATTCATTAAAATGTCTGAGTTTTAATATTTGATTATTGTATATTTTTTTTTTGTAGAAAAGACAATTTTCAGAAGTTATTATGTATGCATTTCTTGATCAGACATAAGAATGTTTTAGATAAATTGATAAAAAAGTATGTATTCTGAATTATAAAAAAATCAAAGATAAGGAAATACTATTTATGTGAGTGGGGTGATGAGATTTGAAATAACTCACTTTTACTATATTTTCTAACTAAAGAAAAAAGCTGAGCAAGAGAAATTAGCAGAACGAATTGGCCTAGTTCGAGACATGGAAATGAAACAACTTTTGGTGGATTGTTCATTATTAAAAACTGAACTGACTGATGCAATGGATAAAACAGATTCTATAGAACGTGTAGAAGAAAGTACTTCTGTGTTGCGTAGGGAGAAATCCTTGGGTGTAATGAGTCAACGATTTTTGATGGTCTTCCTTGCCTCTTCTGTAAGAATTATGTTACCTTTATTTTTTATCAACAAAAATTAGATATGTTATATTTTGCTTTGACAATATTTATCATTTTGTAAGTAATACAGTGCAAATATTATACGTAAACCTACTGCATTTTACTCTATAATCTGTTTGAGTTATTTTTATTTCTATTATCTGGTAAAAGTAACTTTGCATCTGTAAACTTTCTTACTACATAATGCCTAAATAATGAAATATGTATACTGAAAAAATGTGCACCATTGTCAGTTTAACATTTTCCTTTCAAATATTATGGTAAACTATTCAAGGATATTGGGGAAAAGCAATTAATTTTCACCTTGTAAACAATTTACAGCAGTTTCTTGTAACACACAATAATTAACATTCAAACTTTAATTCTAAAATATACTTACCTCCTCTCACACTACAGCGATTTTTTCTCACTCTAGTCTTTTGTACCCCACTTAATTACCCTTGGCGATATATTTGTCTCGTGACACTCTCCACCTACGTCAGTGTGCCTTCTATCCTGGTATCGTACTTCCTGCACGGAGGCACATCAGGTCTCTCCTATCCCACCCCTGAAATCTTGGGGTCACTCTCAGTTGAGACTGTCAGTGATCTTATTCGTAGTGAGATGGAAACATATATTTGGTTCAGTGGTGTTCCTCTAGGGGCTCTGAGGCTGCAATTGATGGTGACCCTTGACATTTTGGAGAGAATTTAGATTTGCTTTTTCATGCACCTTCTTTTAGTCTGTTGGCTGCACAGTCCTCCTATGGGACAGTGGTACGTTTACGGACTCACAATGCTGGAATCTGGGGTCCAAGTCCCTATAGTGTACACAGCAGATAGCCCAACATTGCTCTAATAAAACAAACCTGACTAAATGTTGTTCCAAACAATGGTAATAAGAACAGTCTTTAAAAGAAACAAAAAGAAGGAAAGCTGTTTCTGATTTGTTTTCTTCAGTTGGTTCATCAAAAGTGTGATGTTTGGGTCTTTCCCTCAGTTGCTTATGAGCTTGTACCTTACTTGATGGCTGAAAGGTCTGGGAGCAAATATTTAATTTTCTCTCCATCCACAGACATTGTGACTCATGCAGAGGGTGTATTGCTCAGTTACATGAAAGGACAGTATGCCTTATCTGCCATGGTTTTTGGAATTGCGTGATTTAGCCCGCCATCATCAGGTGAAAGCATATTCCGACTCTCAAATAATACATCTGCTCCTCTAGATTAGGGGTTTTAAGGCAGATTTTGTAGTTAACCTGAATAGATCAATATGCCCTGGTCGGACAGAGGTAAGTCTACAGACTTACAACTCTAAAGTCCAATGTGTTGTTTTCCTAACACTAAACTTTGTTGGAAGACTCTCAGGATCACCAACTTCATTGATTTTGAACTGGAACCATTGTTTGCATGCACATTGGTTCGATTGTCGGCTTCTACATTCATCCCTGTTGTCATTGGTGTCTTGACTTTCATTGGCTCCTATAGTGGATTATAGTTATGCCCCTATTCGAGGATCCTGACCCCCAACATCAACCCCTCGGTACATTGGTATCCAGAATATATATTCTGTCCATATCCAAGGGTTCTGCTGTTTGGTTGGTGATAATTGTATGCATTCGGGGTCTGTGGGGGCTTGGTTTTTAGAATTTCTAGACATGTGATAACCTTAACCATGGGCACTACAGGTCCATGAGTCAGTATTAGTCATTCAGTTCACATCTTCACCACCATTATCCACCCAACCCGTAGGGTTTCTGTCTCACTCTGTGGCAAGTGTTGCCCAGGGAGGTGTGCTTTTATCACTAGCAACCACTTATTCAATATTCTATATCTAGGTTGCAACAGGCTCTGTAGAAATGAGGTGTTCCATAAGTCCACCTAGAGGCTGACCAGATGGTATTACTGTACCATGCTGGACTGCCACTCGTGGACTGTCATGAGTAAAGCATAAGAGAATCCTACCCATCCCTGCTGATCATTAGATTGAATAAATCAGGGTCACTTTGCTTTTAAAAATTTATGGAACTTGGTTCATCTATTGCACTGTTTCTTGAGACTATGCAATGTGTATACCCCCCCACCCCCCTGATTCTACTAGTGGATCTAGGAGTCATTACCACACCCAGTTTCCTGTCGCTGGGGTGGTAGACAGAGTTTTCAAGTGAATTCCTCCACTCTTAGAGAAGAGGGCGAAGTTGGAGGCCCTCTTGTCCTGATCCCTGGATATTTTTTCCCAGATGTTGGTAGGAGAGGCAGGAGCCTACTCATAATACCAGTTCAGATTTGATGCTCGGCTATCCAGTTGTGTGGAGTGTGGCCTGATCAATGTTGGTTCAATACATTGTTCATGGAAGAGGGTCCATTGTCTCCCCATAATTCCGAATACAGAGTGGTCCCATCCTGGGTCCTTGGTTGAGCACAGTTTGTTTCACATCCTCCCCATAATTCCAGGGGCAATTGGAATTTACCTTGCCCTCATGGTTGGGGAGTGAGGATGAGTGTTCATAATTCTAGATCAGATGAGTTCTGTTTCTTCAGGTTGAATAAGGCATACAAGATCCCATCATTCCGAGCCTGGGGTGTTGCCTTTTGGAATTCTTCAGATTGAGGAGGTTTGTCCACTTAGGTGTTTGTTACCTTCTCGTCATGATTCTAGTGGCTCGGAACGGATCACTCCATGACTAGAGGTTGGGATCCACTCATAAGTATACTTATATATATATATATTGTGGTCCAATTGCCCTCGCCACCAATGTGGAATATAAGGACCATGGCCCTATAATTCCAACCCTGAGCAGTGTAACCTTGGCTATCTTGTTGAGGCCTGGCCAATAGTGATTATAAATCATGTAAAATTCCACCCTTCATACAGGAACTAAGTTCAGGGTGAAGATCATACCTGTTCTAGATGTAATGCAGTTCCCCTATTATGGTGCCAACCTTTTATTGACACACCCATGATTTATGCAGATGCTTTCTGTATAGATAATGCCCTCACTGGCCCTCCACCTTCTCAGTGTGGGATTCTAGCTGTAATGTGAGTAGAGGTAAGTATACTTTGGAAGTTAACATTTTCTTAAATCAAAAATGTATTTCCACTCTTCTGCCCTTTCTCCCCACTAAGAGCCGACGCTAGAGACTGCGGATTGAGTCAGTCTCAAAAACATTATAACATTATCTGAATGAGGTGCTTATATACAGTACCAGGACAGAGGATGCATTGATGTAGGTGGAGAGTGTCACGAGACAAATATTGCCAAGGGCAATTAAGTGAGTTATAAAAGACTGGAGCAAGCGAGAAAAAATCGGACCAAAGGAAGAAACCATGGCAGTCGAGTAATAGTTGTAGTGTGAAGGGATGTAATTATTGGAAATACATTTTTGATTTAAGAAAATGTTAACTTTTAATGCAAAAATTTCACTAATTGTGGCACTGTAATACAAAAAATTCCCCTCTAAAAATGAAGTCTTAATTAAGATTTTCTCCTTAAAGCACAGAGATAAACTTTAAGATCAAGTTTCCTATTATTTCACTGCAGGAAGAAATAGGGTATTGTGTTCATGATTGAGGTGTATAACCATTGATTTGAGGCTGTAGCAACTAAGAAACTGAAGTTGTAATGTGATATGTTTGGTAGCTTCAGTTGTTAAAATGGATCTTACTAGCAACTTACCTGGTGATTGTGCATTGCAAGGAAGGTATTTTAATCCATCATTTGTTAAACAACACACAGTTTTTTTTTTCAATCAGATGTCTAATTGATGTTACTAAACCTTGTAGTTTCTGAGTTTGAATTGCATTGGTATTAGATCATCCACATATTTTGGTTTCAGAATGAAATCCAAGCGAGTCAGTCTTATTTAGCTTTTCTCAAGAGTGCTACCATAATCTTTTCCTTAGCTATAGGCATGACTTGTCTAGATCCCCAGCTTAACTCCAAATATGAGTAGTTGTTTTAATGTCCAAATAAACTGTTAAAGCCTCCTCTAGTTGGAACACTGACAATAGCTAAAGTACTTGCTGGACTTGTACTATTTGTCTTTATGATAAAAGAGTGGATATTTTTTAAACTCCAGACCTTTCACATGTTTACCTGTAGCTTTACATATTTTCTTTAATTAACTCTCACATAAGTAAATGATTGGTTGATCTCAATTGTGTCTTTTCTGGGTTGTTAAGAGTTAATACCATCTTACATCTGTATAAAATATATTATGCTTGCAACCAGAAGGCTGATAATGTAGTAAATATTTATACTCTTTTTGTTACTGTTGCTTCAAGTGGACCACAGTGAGACCTTTCTTGACATTTGGGACTCCATTTCTAGGGATACCCCTTGAATCAATTTAGTATTTTTCACTTTTGTATTCTTTCTGTTACAAGTTCTGATAATTCTAATTATTCAGAAAGTTGTGTTACAGTAAAATCTCAAGTACCTTAGTCATCATAATCCTCTTTGTTTAAACCATCCTTCTGGCACTAACTGTTCACAACTCCAACATCAGATTACTGTCATTTTCTCAACCTTTTAATTTCTGCAATACAGCATGTTCAAAATTACAGTAATTTTGTCAAAAAAATTGTGTAATAGAGAGGCTTAATTATTTTTTCTGTAGTCATTAGTAAATAAAGTATGTATACTAGCCTAATATACTTATTTTTTCATAGGCAAGAACAAAAAATATTCCAATAAATATGAATGATTCAAAATTATAATTTGATTTAAAACAGTATTTTAAATACATAAATTACATGTTTTCTGCATGAAAAAATTTATATACACTTTCTTTAAGAGCTTAGGATTAAAACTTAACACTTTAAATTAAATTAACATTTAACTCAACTTCCAATGTGTTTGGGTGTTGATACTACTTTTTCATAACATTACAAACTTGTGTTCTCCAGCCCAGATTTGTTGATTTAGACATTGCAGCTAGAGTCTTGATTGGCAATCCTAAGGTGAAAGTAAAGGAATCAGCAAAGTTTAAAAGTAAGTAGAAATAAATCTGTATAATAATACTCTTGTATACTCTATACATGCATATATAGATAGTAAGTGTGTGCACGTTGTCATGACAGACAAACTAAGTATTATTGTAATAGACTAGCAAGACATTTGCACTCAGATTTGTGTTTTTATTGCAAAAGTACTTCTTTAACTACAGGATTTCTTGAATAATACAAAAGAATTCTAATCGCAAACACCGAAACTGTGTCATATTATAATTCTACTGTTGGTATGCCTTATAATCATGCGCGGTGGTAAAACTTTTACCCAGAAAAACAATGCAAGTGCCTCCCTGTGCCAGAGAGCTGGAAAGCTCAGTGAACAAGTCACTACAACTACTCTATGAATGAAGGAATAACAAAAACTGGTGGATATAAATATTCTTTATTAACCATTCAGTACAATAACATTAAAAGCTTGAAGTTTTCAAAAAGGTCCGACATTAGGTCCTAGAATAACATACGTTTATTTACAGATAGTATCAATCACAGTATAGTTTAGTCCTAGCTAAACTAATATAAAAAACATACACGTTAGTTAAGGTTTTATGAATACAAGTGGACTTACACATTTCAGTGTTTACAATTACATTTTGTTTGTGTTATTCTACAAATCTTGTATTTAAAGAAATACTGTTGCAATATAGATACTAATTTAACAGCAAATGTTTTGTGAGTCTCTGCTAATATATATAATTTTTTGTCGCTCTTAATCTTCAGCTTTGAAAAAATAAAAATTTTAATGATAAGCATCTTGTGTAGAATTATTTTGAACCTCATTTTCAGCCCATACATTTTTCTTGTATGATATTTTAAAGGATACTTATTTATTTATATAATTATGAGATGCTGAATAATTGGTACAGAATGTTCTGTGATAGACATTACTAACTTAAGAATTGGTGATAGGGAGACATGCAAAGATCAATCAATTGAAGAAAGTTTATAACAGAAAATTACTATTTTTGTTAGAAGGAAAACAATTTCAATTTTGATAATGGAATAAAAAATAAATTTAAAATAAAGAATGAAATATCTGGGTTTAGAAAGGGAATGTAATAAAGAGTACTTTGTTCATCAGACTGGTTAAGAAGAATGAAGTAAAAGAACACTTGATTTCCTGGAAAAAGTAAAATTATTTAAAAAAAAATAATAAATTGATTACTAAATCATAGTAGGCTTTCTATTTTTGTTTCTGTTGAACATGGTATGGTTTTATGTTAATGTATGCTGCATGATATTTGATTAAATTTTTGAAGGCAAAATATTGTGATAACAGGTTGATTGAGTTCTTAATTTTGTTTCATCTTACATTGTGAAATTAGTAATAATAAACTGTTTTTGGAAATGCAGCCAGGATATATGTCCTCATCCCTAACTTACCATCTGTTTAGCTTACTGACCATTAAATAATTGCACAGATTCTTTAGATAATTAAACTACAATGTCTCTTTGAAAATCCTGTCAAATTCAGTCTTGTGTAGATGTATATGAAATATTAATTATGTTCTTACAAGTAAAATATTGTTATAATAGTTTAAGTTCTATTTTTCCCAATTTCCTCTGACGTTTTTGATAAATCAGTATTTCTGTAAATGCATTCAAGGGGCATGTCCTTACTATCTGTTTATCTTATTGACCAGGAAATAAGCAATCATGATCAGCACCGAGATTTAACTTTCACTTTCTTTTTCTTACAGTAGAAAAACTGATTTTTTACATCCATTAATCTTATTTCAAGTGAATAATTAATATTACGACTTGCTTATAAAAGAATTCCAAATGTAGTTTCTATACTACATTCAGATAATATGTATTGTAGCTCCACACAGTTTTGGATACAACTTTTAAGTTAGCCTAAAATGTCAATTTACACAAAAGCCAACTTCCAAAAATTTAAACAAACATTATACACTGAATTCCAAGAGCAACATGTGTTTAACTTCATGTAGACCATACAAAGGATATAATTTAGCCAAATTCTTTATCTTTTCCTATATTCATTTATTCACATGCAACATATTCTGATTTATTCTATTTTGATGAATACTTTTGTTTTCCTTTCTTATGTTAATATTTCATGGTCATTTTGTAATATGAATTCTGTGTGTAAACAACACTTATATCAATGTGAGGAATTGCCATAATAAATACCTCAGTGGCTCATAAGTTTGAGGATTTACAACACTAAAAAATCTGGTTTCAATACTCATGGTGGCCACAGCACAGATGATCCATTGTGTAACTTTGTGCTTAACAACAAACATCAAAGAAATTTTAGTTTACAATAGGTTTTGAATTTTAAAAAAGTGTCAAATAGACAAATAAATTGAATAAAATTGTACTTTAAACTTTCTTCATTTATGAAGTTGTTATATAAAAAAATGAGAATTTATATGAAATTTGAAATTAAGATGTGTATCACTAAAACTTTGTTTAATTAGTGGGATGATTTTTTTAATTCACTGACAAATATCAAACATGTAAAAATGTTTAGTAAAGTAAAAGGAAATATGTGGACAGATATTAATATTTATTTCTAAAAATACTCTGACACTTACCAAATTTAATCTTCCAGCTAAAGTTAGGCGACTGTATGATATTGCTAATATTCTGAGCAGCTTAGGCCTTATTAAGAAAATGGAATCAACTAAGTCAAAAGGAAGGAAGAGAGTTTATCAGTATATAGGACCAGAACCAGAAGCTTGTCTTGGGTCTGAAGGTATTAATTAATATTTTCTTTGGTTGCTTTTTGTACTAAGTACCAACATCATAAAAGTTATTTAAAAAAAAATAAAAAAAGACTAAATATTATAGTCAGAAAAACCTGTTTTGTACTATGATTGTTATGTAATATCATGTAGTACATTTATTTTTTAAGTGGTTCTAAACTGTATCTGCAAACTTTTATATACAGTTTAGTGATTTCTTTAAATAAATTATTTAAACAGAGGTTTTAAAACAATGTATTATGCACAAGACATGTATGTTAACAATATAAATCTAAGTTTGAATATGTATATTTTTAAACAGTGAAGCATCCCTTACCTCTGCTTCATTTTAATAGCTAGTGACCATGATAGGTAACAGTTGACCATTTTCTTTTGTGGCTGTACTGTAAGATCTGTCACACTCAATGTTTGGTATATACATAAACTAAACTAACTAGAGTGACCATTTTCTCTCAGAGCTGTAATGTGAGGTGAGGAGTTATAAGCGCTTGGTACATACAAAATTAAAATAGTTACATTTAGTTTTTCCTACTTAAACCCTTCAGCATGGATGGCGACACTTTGTCAACATAAGGACCCCTTGACTCTTTGGCTAAAAGCTATTATAAAAGTTTTCATAGTACCAAATAGCCTCCAAATGAATAAAAATAAATTTTTGGGGAAATCCTCTGAAGTTTTATTTGAAAAATAATGCAATTTATCACTAGTAATCATGAAGATTCTGATCTTTAAAAAGGCACCCACTTCACAGATGCGAGTATTCAGAGCTAATGAAGCATAAAATACTATAATGAATGATAACGACAGTGATGATGTGTACCTACCAAACTCTGATACCAATTGCAGTGTTGATCTGCTAGTGATTACCAGGCAGATGCCATCAAAAACCAGGGACCTCCACAGTGCTCTCCACATCCATGTTCCAAGGGTTGTGTACAAGGAAGACAACCACTCAGCCATGTGTGCCAACACCTCCCAGCACCATAGACAGAGGACGAGAAAGTGGACAGGGAAGTGGAAGATAAGGGAAAGAGCTGGTCAGCACTAGCTGTAGCAAGCACCACAACCCCTTCAAGTGCTACAACAACTTGCAAGTGATGATTAGCAGGGTTAAGATGACTTTGATCTATTTGAAAATGACTGGTTATCAGAACATAACTATCTACATGGTGGGCTTGTGGATACTACAAACTTTCAACCTGAAGATTATTTTCAATTTTTTTTTTAGGTGAAGCTTTCCAACGTATTTGACAATCCTGTTCACATTGCACCCATGTCTCGTTTTCACAAATGTGTTGATATAAAACTTATGCAGCATTGCTGATTGCAATAGGACTATGCCAGAAGAATGAACTTCAAGACTATTGAAGAACCATTTGGCTCACCTTCACTCTGTTCAGTGAACTAATGTTGAGAGATATATTCAAGTTAATAACTTCCTTTCTCCATTTTACGGACAACAGTCTTGACAGACCACAACAGGCCTGGATTTGACCCTCTCTGGAAAACACGATCACCTTTTGGATATCTATGACTCTACTAAGCAATGCATTTGGCCCAAGTAAACACCTGTCTATTGATGAGAGTATCATCAAATCCAAAGCTCGTGTATCTTTTTGGCAGTAGTTGCCATCTAAACCCACATGTTGGGAAATAAAACAGTATGCAATATGTGACAGCAACTCCAGTTATGCTTTTAAATTTATCACTTATTTTGATAAAGGGACTCTTATCACTCAAAATGGGTTTTCTATGACTGAGTCTATTTGCTTAGAATTACTGCAGATAAACAAAGTGGTGCAATAATGAGAACTGATAAGTTCTACTCATAAGTCATTTGTTGATCTAGAAAGGCTTGGCATTGGGGCATGTAGAACTGTGAAGTCTGAATGTCAAGGAATGCCACCAGAGATTCATCTGAAGTATCTCCATCTGGAAAAAGGTGACTATCTGGTGTTTACAAGATAAGGAAACCTTGTTGATTGTGCTTGGCAAGATATAAAACAGGTCCACCTGTTATTCATTGTACACACTAATAATACAGTTTCTAAACAGATTCCTGCTGGAGGTGAAGAGGGCAGCTACAGCTGTTGTAATAGCTAAGATATATAATCAGCACAAGGGTGGGGTCAACATGCTGGATCAAAAACTTGGAAATTTTGCATTTCCTCACAAGGCCTCAAGATAGCATGACACTCCTACCCCAGGATACAAGAAGTAGCCCTGGTAAATTCTTATATCCTGTACAGATCTGATCAAGGAGAAAATGCAAAAGGCCAAAGAAAATTATGTGAGCAAGTGATTCAGGGCTTATTGCATGGCTTTCAAAAAAGCAGTTAATGTTCGGGCCAACCATCAAGCCTTGATCTTCCAACCAGACTCGTAAACAGATCTTCTGTTGTCTAGTTTGATGATTCAAAGTAGAAACTGGACTATGTAGTCTACAGTGATCAGTTTAGAAAGCACAAACCATGCAATGCTCTGACGTGTGAAGTTTCATGCCATGAACTGTATCATTTCTACAGTGATTACAGACAAGCAGCAGTTCAAAGACTTCAGAATAACAATACAGATCAATAATCAGGCAGTGAAAAGAGTGCAATTAACAGTAGAATATATAATTGAAGTTTTGTCAGTTGAAACTATCCCTTTGATTGTGTGATGATATCTTGTGTAGTTTTCTGTGATTACTTTTCAAATATGTAAAGTAATGTTTTTTCATCTTTGTAGAAAATATACTGAGCACTGTGATTTCAGTATTAAATTTTTATTTAGCACCAAAATGGTTAAATACTTTCACAACATAGTGTAATATCAAAAGTGAAATCCTTCAGAAAAGCAATTTACTGTTCTTTTTTGTTTATAAGGTCATTTATTACTAGTATTAAAATGTCTTTTGTACTCCAATATACACTAAAGAAATTAAAAAATTAATATATATTGTTTATTGTCAGATTTGTGATGACTCCAATCAACAATCTGTTGGAATAGCTTCTAGCTGCATGTCGTCCAGATAAATCATTAAGAAAACATTTGTTCAAATAATACTGTTTTATAAAGAAAATTGTACATAAAGATTTTTGCAAAGTCTTCTGAATTCACATACTTCTTTATTGTTCAACTGTTTAAAGATAGTAGCTGAAAAGAATTATAAAAACTTAGTTCTTTAAATTGTATTTTCTTTGGAAAACTTGTATGGTTATAAAACTAATAGAAACTTGTCTTCACAATTTTTAGTACCTATGAGGTCTAGTCTTCCACGTACAAAGAGTGACAGTGTAAGTTTTTATAAACCAAAGAAAGAGCCTTCATATGTCCCCCATTCTCTGGTTCGGCATGCCTCATTGCAGGATATATGTGAAGTGGCTGAGATTGAGAGACAAAAACTATACTCTTCACTGCCTTCTACACCTTCAAATGGATCTTTAGACTCTTTCTCCTTCTCTCTTTCAAATGATGGATTTGAGTTTTCCTCTGAACACTCAGAAAGTGGAACAGAAGCTACAAGCTACAATTTAACAGGTATACACAAGTTTTTAGTAAGTTGTCAACATCATAAATGTATTTGAAACAGTGATGAATGTGGAAAAATTAACAGAATACTGGTTAAAGTAAATCAATTCCTAACTGTGCATCAAGTATGAATGCTTAGTAAAGTCAGCTATGAATTTATGAAACATTTTTAATGATATTCATACTTTGTTAATTTTTTCCATCAGATTCCTGAATTTTGAAATATAATACTTTTTGTATATTATATAGGATCACTTGTAGAATTTTTGGCAACTCTTAAAGTTAAAGTTTTTAATTTCTGCTGATGATAAATGTATATTGAATAATGATTTTAGCAATTATTAAGGCAGTCACTATAGTACATGACTTTAAATAAATCATCACTGTGTAATCATTAACAGGAGAATCATATCAATTTTACTGTTATTTTTAGAAGTTTCTGAGAAACCAGGCACCGATTGCAAAACCCAAGTATTGTCAACCAGAGAAGTCCAATCTTCTTTAACGTGTAGTGAGGTAAACAAGGTAATAGGAGAGCACTATGCTCTGCAAATCTTTGTGTAATGTACAAGTTCTCTTTCTTTAGTAGTTACGTGTTTGTTGATCTTAAATAGTTAATGATTTGTATAAAGTCTAATGAAATATAACAGAATTACATAAGTATAATAAATAAACTTAGTATTCCGAAAATTGTTTAATTTCAAAGTACAAGTTCAAGGGAGATCCAGTTCAATCTATACTTTGATCAACGTGTGTTATTGGGTTATGTTAGTACCAGAGAATTCCACTCCTCATCAGTTACCCTGAACTGGACCTCCCTTGAACTTGGACCTCGAAATTAAACAATTTTTGGAATACTAAGTTTATTTATTACACCTGCTATTGTGCAGCTATATAATGTGAAGAACTGAATAATGGCCAGTGATGCTTTTTCTTCACTTCGCCTATCCAGCATATAGATTTTTCCTTATAGTGAATACAAAGCATGTTTACACCAACAGTATGTTTGAGAATTACATAAGTATAGTTATAGAATAGACTAAGAACTTAGGCCCTAATCTAATGTTCAAAGTAGACCCAAAATATCATGCAAAGTAGTTCAAGTGAAGATTATGTAAACAAAATGCTAAATGCAACTTATACAAGTATTATACGTAATTTAAGTTCTTAGAAATTCCCTATAAATGAGTATATTATTATTTAATCAGTCAAAGGAGGAAGTCCTGTTTTCCTGTGAAGTTCCCTCACAAAAAGAAACATTTTTGTTCTTAATAAGTTTTTCTCAGAATGAACGTTCAGCACGTATGTAGACTGTTGATATCAATATGAAATTTTAGGAATTGCAAAAAAATGAATAATTTTCCTTTGATGTACTCTTGAAAAGGAGCATTTTGATATATACTTTTTTTCTACAATGAACCATTTAGGAGATACAGAGCATGACAGACAGACAGTTGGCTATTGTATAAATAGGTAATAAATAAGTGATGAATTAGTCATTTTAAAATATATTTATCATAAGATAAAAATGATTTGCTACATTTGCAAATGTCTAAGTAAAACAAAATTTTATGAAAATATTTAACTGTTTAAATATCTTCCTGGGTGATAGTGCTGATCAGTTGATAGTCTTTTCATCTGCTTGACAGTTATCTACACTACCTTAACAAGAATGAACTTTTTCAAACACATAAATTTAATAAAAGTAACGTGTTACAAAATAATTTTCACAGATAATTTCTTGTAAATGTTCCATGTATACCATAACTTTGCTTATCTTGGACTAGTACATATTTAAAGTCGTGCATAAATAGAGATCAAAAAAACTTTTTTTAGTAGCATATACATGTTCATTTTCATAACAGACTATTAATTAAGGTTCACATTAGTACTCTTGGCCATTTAAAACAAACATTAATGATATACAGCATAACGTTCATGTAGTTGTGTTTTTTTTTCTTCTGTTTTTCTCATCATGGGTAATTTATAATACTGCTTATAGCTGACTTTAATGATTTTGTTTAGTTTACTGTAGTTTAATTATTTTCATTGCTTCATGTAATCGACTGATTTGGGTTATCAGGAGAAATGAAGGCAAGTCCTAAAATATACTTAGTGATTACACTAATCACATAGTATAGTTTGTTTATCATGAAACTGAAGGCATGTTGCCCTTTGAACAAAGTGAGTGTAAATGATCATCATAAACCATTGTTGTTACAAATCTCTCTCATACTGTTATTCCTAAAGTAGCCCATATGTTGTTCATCCAATTCATAAACACTTGTTAATAATCTGTATTATAAAACCACTTGTTTCTCAGTGTATCTTTCATATTTTTTAGTGCATACTGGAGATATTTACATATTTTGATAATAAAGTTAGAAAAAAACTAGTTTTACACTCCTTACAATTATAAGATAACTTTTATTTTAACCAATATTTTGCCTTTACTGCTTCTTCAGGGCTAGTACATAAAACTGTGTGATATTACAAGTATTTGGAGTCTAACAGTCATTTTTTCTAACTTTCTTAGTGTATCATCTTAAACCTTTGTTAATAACCTATATTATAAACTACTGTTGTTTGTTAGTATATAATCTAAAACCTTTGTTAATGATCTACATCAGAAACCTTTCAAAATCATTAATTTTTTTTTATTCAACATACTTTTCTACAAGCACTTTTTTTTTACATACTTATCTGTCATAAACCATTGTTATTTATCATGTATATATTAAGGCCTTTGTTGTTATTCATCTGCTTCATTAATAATTAATGTTAGTAATCCAAACAATAAGCTTTTGTTCCTGGTTTGTATTATAAATTACCTTTTTCTTGAATACTTGTGTCACTAAGCCTTTATTGTGGGATTATGGAAGATGGTGAAATACTTTTGTAATATCTAAAACAATATAAAAGTTGTTTAAAAAGTACCAGTTGTTGATCGTTTTATAAAAAATTCAATGTTATTCAACTGTACCATAAGCCTATAATTTATCTGAATTATAAGTTTTCATGAAATAAGTATAGCTTTAGAAGCGTTGGTGTTGCATACTTCATTTTTTTTAATAAGCTGATTTTTTAGGAATGTCTTTTTTTTTATGCCATTACCTTTTAAAGACTAATTAGTACAAAGTTTGTTTCATTAAGTACTGAGATGAATAACTTTGCATCCAAAGCAAATATCCAGATCATTTCACTTTCATGATATTATATGGCTCTAACTGATCTGCTAAATATAATGTGAGGTTAAAGCAGGACCTAATGTGTGTTTTGTATAAATATTATATGAACTAAGGAGATATTAGACACATTGAGGATGTGTTGGTTCAAAAGTAAATAAAAATTGCACATGCACTTGGATAATGCGAAACTGAACAGTAAGTCTCGTGCCTATACAATTTTTTGGTATTATGGTTTAATTCATAAGGTGACAAGTTTTGAGTCTCTCTCTAATCAAGTAGAGATTTTGGACAATGATTATTACTCTAATACTATTGTTTTTATAAAGCTTTTTTTTATTTATTTTAGTTAAATAAGTGGACTGGTTTTCATTATTACCCTCTTTTTGATTGAGACCGTCTGTAGTAAATATTAAAAGGTTGTAACATATTTATTTTTTAAATCTCCCTGGTCTATGTAAATCATCTTGGTTGTAGCCAAAGTTCAGTTAATTTATTTGGTAAGGTTGCAAACTTTATTTTTCTTATCTTGATGCTAAAACTATACCTGTGTAGTTTCCAACTTATTTTAAAAAGTACTAAAGAAAATTATCAATTAGTAGCTGCTATTAAAATAGTTAGTCTTTTTGTGATGGAAGATATTATAAATGATAGTCTTTACTGTGCAAAGTCTGTGGTACTTGTGACCTGTCTGATAGCATGATTTTGTTCCTTATTATCAGATAGGCAAATAACATTCAGTCACTGAATGTTAATGAAATTTTATATATCCTGATAAATGGTGGTCTAGGATCATAACATTTAGATACATCTCCAAAACTGGTACTTTTAGTTTAAGATTTCATTAATCAACTGTGAAATGTCTTTATTACTATATATACACCTGGAAAAAAGTTAAGCACCCCCAAATATTTTCCAGGATTGCTTATTGAAAATAAGGTTTAATTTTCATGATGTTGAGCAGTGTTCA